GGAGAACATCTGTCCAACAGCCCTTCTTCCAGGGGCTGCAGGCATCTGCTTTTGCAGTCCTCCTGGGTGAGGGGCACTGTCCGCTCACCAGTCACCAACTGGCCACAGCCAGTGCCGTGGGCCACAGCAGGCATGGGCCGCACAGCACAGGCTTCTCCAGAGCTGGTGTTCAGAATGAGTCACCAGGCCTATCTTCCAGGGGCCTCAGACTGAGCATTAAGCTCGGCACCACCCACGACCCTCAAGGATATGCTGGGGAAGGAGGGGGGTGGAAGGCCTTGGAAGGGTCTAGGAGGAGGGAGAAGGGGCCGGCGCAGGCCTGCTTTCTCGGGAAGGTCCAGGCCCGCCCACTCACCGGTCCTCCATGATGCGGCACATGTGGTAGATGGCGCTGTGGCCCAGGTGTGTCCCCAGCAGGTTCCGCATGAGCTGTGACACACAAGAGGCTGTCACTGAGGTCCCCCCTCTCCAGCCCTCCACAGCCTCGCCCTGACTGGGGCTTGGCCACCTCACCCCCAGCCCCAGCCTTGCAGAGCCCCACCTTCCAGCAGGGCTCACACAGTTCCTTGACGTTGACAGTGCGGCAGAGGGTGACAATGAACAGGGGCAAGCTCTCGGCAGGCAGGCAGTTGTAGCAGACCACGGCGTCCAGCACTTGCAGGGAGACCTGGGTGGGAGGCGCCCAGGGGGAGTCAACACCACTCACAGCCCATGGGGCGCAGACCATACTGCCACAGAAACCTCCCTTGGGAACCCAGGGATGAAACAGGGACGAGATGAGGGTGTCCCGGGCCCCGCGATCTTCCTCTTTGTGGAAGTGTGGTAAAAACACAACCCAGCACTGGCCAGTGCGATGCGGGCTCGGTCTTCCCACTGCTCCTCGGAGACTGCAGTTTTGACGGACTGGAGGCGGATGGCAGCCCCGGCCCGGGACATCTCTCAATGCCACCTCCCCGCAGCCTGTGCGCACCTGTGTCTGGTCTCATGTTGGTCATGCTCACAAGAACCCTGTCGTTCTCACCATGCTGCTGCACGGCCTAGCCTACTGGCTGGTGTCAGCGTGAGCTTCGCACACCCGGGAGCCAGAACACAGGGGACTGACTTCACACTCTCCAACGTCAACTGCCAGGTCTGCAGTCCTCAGAAGGCGCCACTGTGGTTCCCCCACCCAACACAAGGGCTCAGTGGCCCTGAAATATCACTGCCCCTTAAATCAGACATGGCTCCTGCTTCTAGCCCACCAAGTGAAGCTCTCAGGGCTCTGGTGGCCAGTGAGACTCGGCACCCCCTGAAGCGACGGAGGGGACTGACCTCTATATCCACGGGTGACGTGGTCCGGATGCACAGCAGGCAAATCATCCTGGGGAGGGGGGGTGGACGTCGCGGTCAGCTAGGACCTGCTGCCTGGCGGGCCAGCGGCCGCTTCCCTCCTGGGGCACTATGGGTCAGCACGTGCGGGGCTGCCCCCCACCCCACAAGCACCAGAAGACCACCGGCCCGCCAGCCACCGAGTGGTCTGCTTCGCGTGAGCCAGACCAAGGCCTGCTCTTCTGAGATGCCACAGCCTCTCGCAGACCGGAGGCCCACACAGCACAGCCGCAGCAGCAACCGAGCAGGTCGCCCCACAGCCAGTTTTATGCCTCCAGACACCCCGCTTCACAAAGGGTGGCTGACTCCACTTCCCAAGAGCCCTGGGGCACTGCCCAGGCAGTGTTGCTCCCTAACAACTTTCAGGTTCAAACACCTTAAGATCCTGCACAGGGCCACCATAAGCTGGCATCACCTCGATGGCACGGGGTTTGCTTTGGGGGGAAGTTATCGCTACGTCCAAGGACGCTGGCAGTGCTGTGGTGACACGCTTGACTGCAAACCACAAAATCAGCGGTTCAAACCCACCAGCTGTTCCTCAGAGGAGGGACACCATGGAGACTGCCCGTCTGGGAAAGACCCGAAGGCAGTGGTCGCTGTGAGTCAGGACCGGCTCAGCAGCAGTGGGTTTGGCCTTGGTGGCGCAAACAGTTAAGCACCAGCTGAACAGAAAATCTGGCAGTTTGAATCCCCCAGCCACTCTGGGAAAAAAGATGGGGCAGTCTGCTTCCGCAAAAACGTGACAGCGCAGGAAACCGGATGCCCAGAGCAGTTCTGCTCTGTCCCACAGCGTCATCCACTCGGTGGCAGCAGCGTCTCCATGTGTATGTTGTCTACCACCCGCTCCTGCACTGGCGGGACTGTGGGCTGACCCCCAGGGAGCAGCAGTATCGGGGTCTTTGTCTTACTGAACCATGGATGCGATGTACTCGTCCAGGTAACAGCTGTTGAACTTGACCAGGTTCACAAGCACCAGCAGGAACTCTGAGGATAAGCCGACATCCATCCACTGCAGGACAAAGTCAGCTGGGGCAGAGAGGGACAGGGAGGGGTGAGGTTAGCACCAGACCGGCCCCACTCACCTCCAAGCTCAAGAACGCATGTCCTTTAACCAAAAAACAAGGTTCTATGCCCCCTTTGGGGGCATCTGAAGGGCAGGGATCAGTCTTTCTCCGTCTGGAGGGAAGAGATGTGATGAAATCGAAAGGTGCGTGGGAAACGATTCATCCCAGGGACAAATGGACCACACAGCGCCAGTCTCCACAAGCTGAGGCCAGGGAACTGGACGGTGTCCAGCCGCCACCACCAACTGCTCTGGAAGGGACCCCAGTGCAAGGCCCTGAATCGAGTGGGGGGACACTGTGAAACAGGGCTCGGCATCGTGAGAGAGCAGACCGACTGGTTGGACACGAGATTGGTGAGACACCTCCTCCCAAGACAACAGCGCTGAGTCACACTGCGGCTCCAGGATGGCGCGGGCCCCTTAAAATAACCGACCACGTAGGACTAAAAGGGCAACACTTCCCAAGGAGGACATTAAGCTGGTCAGGAGAGGAGGAAAGGAACCAGCACACACAGGGAGGAAGTGGACCGAGTGCGGGTCCACTGAGGGATTGAAATGGACGTGTGTGAATTACAGCATGTCTCACTGGTGATGTGCTCTGTCAGCCTTCACCTAAATCACAGTAAGAAGTTAACCAGAGAAAACAAACACAAAGGGGAGCTGTCAGAGCCTGCCAATGGCCCCGCACCGAACCCACTGCATGCCCATGGCTGATGGGCCAGGGGGCCGCCCGGGGCTGACCGTGAGCGTGCGAGGGCCTCGGTGTCTAGAAGGCTGATTCACTCCGAGGATTTCTAGGAAGAAATGCTTGGCTGCCAGCCAACCAGCCTTCCACAGGACACCTGAGTAGGCTCCCCCGCCTTCCCCCACCCAGCCAGGCCTGCCTGGAGCCGAGCAAGCAGGAAGCCCACGTCTGGGAGAGGTGGCTGGGTCAGACTGACTTTCTCCTTCTCCAGAAGGGTACGTTAAGCTCCACCACCACCCAGCTCCACCCACTGCCACCACCACCACTACCCCACAGGAGGGGAAGGAGATGGGAGAGGAGGACGGGGCCCCTATGAGGTGGTACCCTCCCCCCCCCCAACAACAACAACAGAAAAAAGCTCTGCTGGGCCAAGCTTTCATAGCATGCATTTGTTCCCTGCTGTGTGAGCACTGAGCAACTCACTCTGAGTTAGTGTACCCAGTGGCTTGACTGGGAAGGTGATCTCTGCTCACAGTGAATTTTTTTCATAAAAGCAGTTTCACTCAAAACTCGTTTTTTGTGGTGGCCGATTTAAGAGAATAGCTACAAAATTCTGTTTCCTGCTCGGGAAAAATGCCGCAGAAAGTGATTTTCTCACTTCAGAAAAGGTGAAAGGTCGATTGAAGGCAGACCTCGTTCTGGACGTCCATCAACTTCTCGAACTGACAGAAGTCAACAAAATTCACGCCTTTGTGCTTGAAAACCGACAAAGACGGACCATTGAAGAGATGGGAAAGTTATCTGGATGATCTTGGAGCTCAGTTTGGCAAATCTTAACAAAAGATTTGGGAAAGAGAATGGCCGCTGCAAAAAACGTGCCTCGGGTTCTGGCTGACGAGCAAAAAAGCTTCCACTGCAGCCATGCCACGCTTTGAAAAACCAGCGCCGAAGTGAGCCGGACTTTTTCACAAGGTGCCGGGCGTAGTGCTACTCTCACAACCCCGAAAGCAGACATCAATCCATTGTCACCGGCCCCCAAAAGGTCATCAAGTGAAATCACAGATCAAGACGATGCTCCTTTGTTTTTCGGACGTGAGGGAGATTGTGCATTTGGAGTTCATTCCACCAGGTCAGACTGTTCATCAAGCTTTCTATTGAGAGGTTCTGAAAAGACGCCTAACAATGTGTGACCAAAAAGGCCTGACTCGTAGCAGACGGGGGACTGGTTTTGCCACCATGACAATGAACCTGCTCATGCAGCCATCTCAGTGCGCCAGTTTTGGGCAAAAAACAGCATGCCTCTCTTGCCCCACGGCCTTTACTCGCCTGACCTCACTCTGTGTGACATCTTTTTGTTTCCGTGAATGTGGATGGACATGAAAGGACAGCGGTTTGACGAAGTAGAAGAGGTGCAGGTAAAAGCAAGGATGGTGCTGTCAACCATCCAAACAGGTGTTTGAAAAATGTTTCCGAGGATGGAATCGCTGATTTGATAGATGTATCACGTGTAATGGGGAGTACTTTGTAAGTGTAATGGGGAGTACTTTGAAGGGTGATAGGTTTTTTTGTTGAAAAAAAAAACACTTTTCTTTAAATCCGTTTTGATTTTTTTTGGTACCCCCTCGTATGACTGGGCCCTTGGCCCCCTCCACAGGGGTAGCCGTTCGGTGCCCCAGGAATGTAGTCTGCAGGCAGGGAACAAGGGCCAGGCAGCTCCATTTTGAACGAGCAGAGATCCAGTTCCCTAGACGCCTGGCCAGCAGACACGTGGTGTGACCCTCTCTGCAGGTCAGGCAGGGAACCGCAGTGCCCACCAGCCAGGTGGCCTCACCCAAAACACACCCCTGCCCAGCGCAAAACCCACCCAATTCTTCTTCCAAGTAGGTGATGTGTCTCCCGTTGTCTGTGAGGGCCTTGAACACTTCCAGCCGCTCGTGCAGGTCTTCATTGGAGGGGTAGTCCTTGATGACCCTGAAGAAGAGGGCTCGCAGCACGCCCAGGCGGTCCCCCTGAAGACAGAACCTTGGCTCAGCCGAGCAAGGCCTGGACAGTGCAGCCCTGGGCTCCAAGGGGCACCATGCCCATCACTGTCCTGATGGTCTGATGTGAGCCATCTCTCAGCGTCCCACACACAGGCAGGGCCACTTCCAACCCCTCTTCTAGGCAAAGGTCTGGAGACTCAGAGATTCCCACAACTGCCCAGAAAGGTGACTCATTTCCAAAGCACCTCACCCAACCCCCAAACCTTAACCCTGCCCTTCGCTTGAGCTCCCACTCCACACCTCAGCCCCATCCCTTGGCCAAGCCCTTCAGCCCTTGCCAACTCAGAGCCCACTGGAAGCAGGGCAGGAGCGGCCCGTGGGCAGCCCGCCCCCACCTCACCTGGCCCTGCACAATGGCGGTGAGCAGGGCCAGCACAGCATGGCGGGCCTCTGGCGGCCTGTCGGGCTGCAGCAGGTCAGCGACGGCCCTCCATAGTGCTTCCACGGCGTGCTGCGGGCGCAAGGGGGTGGACAGTCAGCAAAGACAAGGTGGCGGACCTCTGACACACCACTGCTCCCCCAGCCAGGCCAGGCCAGGCCACGCCAGGCCAGACAAGGGCAGCAGCGCCCAGAGGGCCTGGAAACCCTCCCGAGGTTCCAAGCTGCTCCAGCAGGTCAGATGCCCGGTAGTGTCTCAGAAAAAGAGGCACCAGTGGGTATAGCCTCAGCCTGACCCCAAGACCCTGCTTGACACTTGTCTCCGTAGGCCAGTCACAGGCCAGCCGACACCAGGCACTGCCTGCCTTGCCACTGAGGAGGCCCACACAGATGGCTGCCCGGGGGATACTCAAGATCTTTCTGAAGTGGCGAGGTCATTGTGAACAGAGGCATCCGATTGTGGCATGGGGACTCTGAGGAGCAGTTCTGAGACTATGGGGTCCCTTGTCATTGTGCCCAAGACTATGAGGGTAGGAGGTAAAGCGTCAGGCTGGCTTTCGGACCCACACTGAGCTAGAGGCCACGGGCCCACGTGGCTGAGAGGCTGAGGGCAGAAGAGAAACTTGGCTACTGGCCGAGGAGACCAATGACTATCCTGTTTGCTGATTCCGAGTGTGGTAACCCACTCGCTTCCCTGATACACCCCCTGAACTGTGAGTATCGTCTGTGAGCTGTGTGTGACCACGGCAATGAAGTGTGGACCCCAGCACAGAAGCAGAGTGCCCTGGGAGGAGGGGCTGGCATCAGTGCCGATGGGGACCCATCTGCTCCCTGGCCTGGAGCACAGGGAAGGCCGAGGTTCCCTCCGCTGCCTTCCGCCGCACCTACCTCCTCAAACCTCTTGGTTCTCGCCACTTCGCAGATCTGCCCTATGACTCGGATGCGATTGCTCAGCCCGTACTCCACGCTCAGCTCCTGCAGGCGAAGGCCAGAAGAAACTCAAGGCCTGTATGTGGGTGGCAGGTCTCCCCGACGGCGGACACGACCACCCAAGAACTGAACCGGCTGCTGACAGGATGGAGATGCAGCAGGTCTCCCTGAGATTGGGAGTCACCCAAGGACCACCCCACCCACCCACCCACCCGACACACACACAACAAAGACCCCAAGACGAACATAGCATGCCATATGACGTCAGGGCACACCGGGACATGTAACTAAACTTTCCAAAAGAAAAGACAAGCCAAGAATCCCAAGAGCAGTTCAGGAAAAAACAGTCACTAATAACAGGGAACCGTGTCATGGACAGACAGCTTTGCAAAGTCAATTATGGCAGACGTGGTTAGGTTACAATGCGTTACCTTACCTTTGGACCCCTGTTAAAGTTGTGTCAGTTGAAAAAAAAAAAAGTGAATGGGAAATACACGTGGAGTAAGCCTCTGGGGCATCGCCTCTGACCACAGGCCAGGGGCACGAATAACCTGGTGAGCACACGGACTGCAGGAGAAAGCGTTCTCTTGCAGGTGCAGTTGAGATTGAGCAGCTCATCATTGGGTCTCCCTTTTGATCCATTTTAAATTTGTCATCGTTTTTAGCATTTTCTGCTTTCTTTTCAACTGGAGCTTTTAGCTCTTTTACTTTGTTATTGTTGCTAGTTGATTTAAAATATATATATAATTTTTTTTATGTATATAAAGTGCAGAATAGGGAGATCTACCGAGCCGGTAATTGGATTAATGGCTCCTTGGGGAGCATGGCAGGGAAGGCTGGAGGGAAATGGGGAGCTAATAAAGATGGGTATGTTTATTAAATGTTCTAAAATTGTGGTGATGAATGTGCAACTCTTACTGATGGGCTTGAACGATTAAATTGTATGGCATGTGAATTACATGCCAATAAAACTGTTAAAAGACAAAAAAGAATCACAGTCCCAGAAACTTGCAGGGGGCAGTTCTACACTGTGCGATGGGATTGCAAAGGGTCAGACCCGACTGGATGGCAGAGTTTTTGGTTGGTGGTGAGGTTACAAGGTTCTGCATCCAGCAAACCGAAATACCAAACCCACTGTCCTTGGAGTCCATCTGCTCCCAGTGACACCGTGTCATTAGGGTCCACCGAGTCAGTGCCAACCCGTTGTGACCCTGTGTACAGCAGAACCAAACCCTGCTCTGGCCCGTGCCATCATCAACATCGTTTCCATGTTTTGGCTAATCGATGGAGCCAGTGTGTCAATCCACCTTGTCAGAAGTCTTCCTCGTTTTCACTGCCCCTCTAAGTTACCAAGCCTGATGTCCTCCTCCGGGGACTGGTCTCTCCAAACATGAGGTCCAAAGTAGGTGAGATGAAGTCTTGACACTTTTGCCTCTCGGCGGCACTCTGGCTGCACTTTTCCCAAGACAGACTTGTTGGTTCTTATGGCAGTCCGTGGTAGTTCCAATAGTTTTTGTCAGCACCAGAACTCAAATGCATCAAGAATTCTTCAGTCTTCTTGAGTCAATGCCCAACTTCCACACACACATGGCGATTGAAAAGACCATGGCTTGGGTCAGGTGCACCTTCCTCCTCAAAGTAACACCCTTGCTTTTCAACACTTTAAAAGAGGCCTTGTGCAGCTGCTCCACCCAGTGCAACATGCCATTTGATCTCTTGACTGCTGCTTCCATGAGCATTGACTGTAGATGCAAGCAAGACGAAATCCCTGACAACCCCAACCTTTTCCATCAGGATGTTACGTATTGGTCTAGCTGTGAGGATCTGGTCTTCTGTGCAGTGAGCTGTAAACCCCACTGAAGGCTGCAATCCCTGATCTGCATTGGCAGGGCTTCAAGTCCTCCTCCCTTTCAGCAAGCGAGGTTGGGTCATCTGCATATCGCAGGTTGTTAATCAGCCTTCCTCCAGTCCTGATGCAGCCTTCGTCTTCCTGTAATCCAGTTCTCTGGTCATTTGCTCAGCATGCAGATTGGATACATGTGGTATGTATGGGGAGAGGGTACAACTCTGACGCGCCTTTCCTCATTTTACACAATTTCCTTGTTCTGTCTGCACCACTGTCTCTTGAACTCTGTGCAGGTTCTGCATGAGCACCATGCAGTGTTCTGGGATTCTCATTCTTCTCAAGGCTACCCACAGTTTGCTCATTCGTTTTTCTTTTTTCAGTGATCATTTTATTGGGGGCTCCTACAAATCTCGTAACAATCATTCAATTGTTTTAAGCACACTTGTGCATATGGTGCCACCAATATTTCCAAAACATTTTCTTTCTACTTGAGCCCTTGGTATCAGCTCCTCTTTATACCCCCTCCCTCCCGCACCTTCCCACTCTTGTGAATCCTTGATCAATTATATATTATTATTATTTCATACCTTACACTGTTCCATGTCTCTCTTTACCCACATTTCTGTTATTCGTCTCCCTGGGCAGGGGGGAGGGAGGGTGCTATATACCCAACCTCGTGGTGGGTTCCCTCTATATCCCTCTTTTAAATAAGTTTGAAATGAACTTGTAGGTTTTAGTTTTACTTTTACTCTCTTTTTAGCCATTCAGACCGATATTTAGATCCAAGGGGTACAGAATCTGGTTATCCACAGTTTGCTATGATCCCCGCAGTTGAATGCCTTGACATAGTCAATGGAAACACAAGTAAACATCTTTCTGGTACTCTCTTTCAGCTAAGATACATATGACGGGGAGGGAGGGGAAAAATGAGGACCTAATGCCGGGGGCTTAAGTGGAGAGGAAATGTTTTGAGAATGATGAGGGCAATGGATGTACAAATGCGCTTTACACAATTGATGTATGTATGGATTGTGATGAGTTTTGTATGCACCCCTAATAAAATTATTTAAAAAAAAAAAAAGGTCCTTATGACATCAGCAGTGATATCCCTTGTTCCTTGTCTTCTGAATCCGGCCTGAACATCTGGCAGTTCGGGCCTCAATCACTGTTTGATGATTCTCAGAAAAATTTTATTTGCATGTGATATCAATGATGCTGTTGTATAATTTGAGCAATCCGTTGGGTCACCTTACTTTGTAGTGGGTATAAACAAGCACACTATAAAACAGAGTAAAACTGCCACACACACCCCACCCCCCGGGCTCTTAAGGCAGTAAATCTCTATGGCAACAGACTGCCTCAACTTGTCCCTGCAGAGCAGCTTGTGGGTTTGAACCACGGACCTTTCTGGTAGTAGCCCAACACTTAACCTTCTGTGCTACCAGGCTCCCTTGCACCCATCACCCCTTTTCAATTCCAGAATGTTTTCATCAGCCCCCCCCCCCAAGCAGTCACTCCCCATACCATACTCCCACCCCACAGCCCTTCACCCTAAAACCCAAACCCACTGGTGTTCAGTTTATTCTGATTCACAGTGACCCTATTCAGAGCTTCCGAAGCTGTAAATCTCCACCTCAGCGTTTTCCTGAGTAGTGAGTGCTGGGTTTGAACTGCTGACCTTGCAGCTAGCAGCCTGAAGCTTACCCAACAGCACCACCAGGGCTCCCTCCCCAAGCCCTTAGCGATCATTCAAGTGGGAGCACTGTTCTACTCTGCCACTTGTGATCATGTTCTCCAGGTGTGCCTGGGCCAGAACCACTGAGAGGTGGCTCTGTTCACCAGCTGATGGTATTCACCTGCTTAGAAGCAAGCCAACCGGCAGGAGAGGGCGGTGCCACATTCACAGAAGAACAAGAGAGAATGGGCCCTGCTTAGTCACCTGTGCAAGGCTGTGCAAGGGGAGGCATAAGGGCCCTGTTTGGGGTGTTCCATCCACCTACACCTTAAGGTTTATCTAGCTTCCTGGACCAAGTCATCAAGATCCAGACTTGCTTGAGTCTCCAAAGGGCGGTGCAGTGTCCACAGTGCTGGGGGCCAGTCATACCCACCTCCCACGGGGCCTGGTGACTGACAGCGAGGCAGATGAACCCAGCTGTGGGTCACCTGCCCTCAGGGTAACCTCCACGACCGGGGTGGCACACTCACTCTCAGGATTTCGGCTGTGATCACGAACTCCGTGTGCTTGCCCTCTGTGGACCTGGCATGTGGCCGTGAGGGCCCCAACCCCAGCAGCGTCTTGAACTTCTCCTTCAAGCCCGAGTCTTTGCTGGTGGGCTTGGCCATGGTGGGCAGCGCGGCACCGGGGGAGGCTCCTCTGTGCGGGGGCGACAGGGGGAGAGAGGTGAGGGGCAGGGCGGCCACCCCCAGGTCGGCAGGTCCCAAGTCAGCTCGGCCTGCCCTCCTGTCCCTCCTCCCGCCCACCGCCAGAACTGCCGCAGCTCGGTGCCGTCGCCCCACGCTCTGTGTAAGCGGTCAAGGAAGGCAGTGTGGTCGGGGGCGGCCACGGCATCCTCACACTGGTCACCTCTCTAACCCCGAGGTGGACGGGGACGCCCTCGCTCCCGCCGCCATGACTTTAACCTGAGGATCAGAGCGGGTGCGGACACCCCGTCGGGCCGCCCCCAACGCGGCCCAGGCCACCCTGGCCAGTCGGGGCCCCGGGAGCCACTCACCCAGCGCCAAGCCCGGGGCGCGCCGGCCCGCCCCGCCTCCAGCAAGGCCCACACCCCCAGCCCGGAGACACCGCCGGAAGCGCAACCTACACTTCCGGCAGCAACGCGGCGCCCGGCGCAGCCGCACTGCGCTTGCTGGGAGTTGTAGTTCCGGGCTACGCGCGTCTGGTCACGTGGCGGGCCGCGATGCCTGCCGGGACATGTGGTCCGCTGGTGGCTGGTATGCTTCGGTGGGCTTGAGGATGTTGACCCGGAGCCGGAGCCGGAGCCAAAGCCGGAGCCGCGGGCCAGGCACCGGGCCGGGAGGGGACGGGGAGAAGGCCGCGGTGCGCCGGAGAGAAGGAGCGGCTTCAGGTAGCGCAGCCCCTGGGCCAGGCCAAGGGAGGAGAAGCGAGGAAGGGGCGTGCAGGGTCCGGAGCTGCTGCCCGGGGCTCCGAACCACGTGGGTCGCACGGTGCCCCCGCAGCCGCGTACGAGCTCCTGAGCCCCCTAGTGGCATGTTCTCAGGACATAAGGACAGGCCTGCGCAAAGCGACGTTTTCTGGGCTCCCCCGCCTCTGAGCAAAAAAGTTCCCTGACTTCCAACCCTCCCAGACCTACTCCGCCCGGAGCTGCCTCACTTGCTCCCAGACGCTCCTCCTCTCTGCTGCCCAGAGAACAGGACACGGGGTGGAGCCACAGCCTGGTTCTAGCAAGACCTTGAGGCAGGCTGCTAGCTGACAGGTCGGACCATCTGGCCCACCCAGAGGCACGTTGGAAGAAAGATCTGGCTGTCTGCTTTTGAAGGAAGTGGGAAGGGGGGGCTTCACTACGATGTGGGGTGGCCCCGATTTGATGGCAGTTGGTGCCGCTACTGGTATCCCACATATGGCTCTAAGGGGGACTCGGAATCCCTTCGATTTGGGCAGGATTGGCCAGAGGGGCAGTTCCCAGTGACAGTCCAAACAAGGAGGCCCACCGGGAGGTGGGGGGCAAGGGGGATGGGCCGGCACTTTGGCAGGGCCTTGGAATCGGATGAAGTTTGGACGGTGTACGCTGATGCACGTGTCTGGTATGGTGTAACAGCTGGGGGCTCCCCTCAGATCTCCATGTAGACTTTGTCTGGTGGACAAGGGGGCATGGGGAAGGTGAGGGCAGCTCAGGGCACGTGGGGTTACTTTATCCTTTGTGGCATGTGCCCTGGGCTGCCCTAGTGCCACGGAAGACAAATATTGCTGGTGTGTGAGGAGAGTGACCTGAACGAGTGAGGCTGGGATAGCAGGTGGGGCAGCACCATGAGGCCCACCCTCACCTTTCGCCTTGGCTAAGGAGACCTAGTGGCACTTCCTGCAGGAAGCAAGCCATGCCACTGCCCGTTGAAGCGCCCGAGAAAGGCAAAGAGACTGCATGTGGCCTACGAGGTTGTGGATGGCGCCCGTGAGGAAGGCAAGGGGGCCTCGCCTCTCCAGGTACCACATTGGGAGCCCCAGGATTGGCAGCAGCAACTGGCAAACATCCGAACCATGAGAAGCAGGAAGGATGCACCTGTGGACCACCTGGGTGCCGAGCACTGCTACGACTCCACAGTATCCCCAAAGGTAGGCAGGAGTGTCGCCTGCCCCAGTGACTCCCCTCTGCCCCCAAACCAGATACCTCCTTCCTTTCAGGCCTCCAGCAGGGCACAGCCTAAGAGCTGGCAGCCTTACCGGCACCACCCCCAACAGGTACGCCTGGTGCCCAGGGCGCTGGGGGTTCACCTGCAGCCCCCCAGCATGTCCAGGTGTCTGCAGCTCTGAGTGACCCTACTAGCCTCTAGGCTGGTCATAGTGCAGGCAAACGTTTGCCTATCTGGGTTGCTCTAATCTCAGCTCCGTGTCTTCTGGCTGACTTGTGCGTAGGAACATTTCTCTCTGAGTCTCAGTTTACTTGTCTGTGCCGGGTGAGCAGACTCACAGAGGGCAGCAAAGGTAACAATAGCTAAGCCAGCAGCCTGGGAGTGCCCCCGCCTATCCTGGCTTGAGTCTCGAAGCAGTGCCGCCAGGCAGCAGCCCTGGTGGGGTGAGAGAAGGGCTGGACAAGGGCCCTGCCACCACACCCTTCCCGAGCTTCCGCCACTGCCAGCAGGTACGGAGGTACCAGGTGCTGCTTTCCCTGATGCTGTCCAGCCAGACCAAGGACCAAGTGACGGCGAGTGCCATGCAGAGGCTGCGGGCCCAGGGCCTGACAGTGGACAGCGTCTTGCAGCTGGACGACCACACACTGGGAGCGCTCATCTACCCTGTGGGCTTCTGGAGGGTGAGCTTGGCAGGAGGCATGGCAGGGGTTGTAAGCTGCCTGAGGAGCATGGGTCAGATAAGCTGGCCTGCCTAAGCTGCCCCCACAGCTCATGGGCCGACCATCTGGGAGCTGTGGGTCTTTCCTGTTTGCAGCCCCTTCCTTCCTTGTCCTCCCTGCCCAGCCCTTCCCTTCCGCTCTGGCCGCCCACCCCACTTTCTCTTTGTTTACTCCAAGGCTCCCTGGAGTGCATCACCCGCCTCTCTGAGAAGCCTCATGCCCTATGGGAGCCCCAGCACAGCTGCCTCCCCACCCCAGCAGGACTCAGGGTGGCGGATGGGCGGGTTATGGCGGCTCCGTGGGTGGGGCGCTTCCCTTTGGCATCAGCGTGGGCCGCAGCTCCTTGGCTGAGTTTTAAATAGACTTTGGATCTGCGCAGGATGGGAACCTCCCTTGGGCCTGGAAGCTGGTGGGGGAGTCCCAGGACCCGCCTCCCCTCCTACAACAGTCCCAGGTTCTGGCTCCACAGGAACAGAATAGTGGGCAAGGTGCCCTAAACCAGACCCTGCACCCACCTCATTGGCCAGGTGGTCAGAGGAGCCAAGTTCCTGGCCTACCCTGGACCCTTTTCATCTCCCTCATGCCCTTGATGTGTTCCCTTCTGCCTGGAGAAGTGACTGGGTGGTGTGACCCCCACCCCCACCCCACCCCCGTGACCCTGGGTGGGTGATAAGTAGCCCCGGGCACCTGACTGACATCCCAGCCTTTCAGAGCAAAGTGAAGTACATCAAACAGACCAGTGCCATCCTGCAGCAGCGGTACGACGGGGACATTCCCGCTTCTGTGGCTGAGCTGGTGGCCCTGCCAGGTGTCGGGCCCAAAATGGCACACTTAGCTATGGCTGTGGCCTGGGGCACCGTGTCGGGGATCGGTGAGTTGCATGTACCTCTGCAGGAGGAGAAAGGGGTTCCCGGTATCAAGTTAAGCCTGCGCCACCCCAACATTGTTCTCACAGCCAGGCCCACATCAGTGAAGCACCTCCCAGGGACAGCCTCAGGGCTGTGCTGCAGGGGAGGTGACGGGTGCATGTGAGCACTGCCCTGGGGGCGGGGCGGGGAGGGTTTCCCAAAGAAGTCATCATTGGCAGTAACATCCAAGGTCACAGTGTCAAGGGCCCCTGGGGACCCGCTGCTCTCCTGTAGTTGACAGAGAACTGGCACGCCCCTTCAGCCCCATGCCTGGAGGTGGGGGTGGGGGGTAGGGGGTGCCTTGGGGGGAGGGAGCTAGCCCGAGGGACTTGCTTTCTTTTCCCTTTGGTGGAGGCTTGGCGCCCTGGTGGGTAGCCGGTTTGACTGGGGCTGCTGACCACAAGATCCCCAGTGGGCAGCCACCCGCTCCTCGGGAGAAAGTCTGGACTATCTACTCCTGGGAGGGGTTACCACCTCGGAAACCCACAGGGGCAGTTCTACCCTGTCCTGTGAAGTGCTCTAAGTCAGCATTGACTCAGTGGCAGTGGGTTTGGTGTGAGTTTTGAGTTGGCAGAGGCAGGAGTGGGGACTGCAGCTGTGGAGGAGCACCCTGGTGAGCTAGCACCCCAGCCGAACTGGCGTGGGCAGGTAGACAGCACCCACAGCTGGCCTGGCCATATACTGTCCACTCAGTGGCTCCTGTACATCCCACTGAGCTGAGCTGCTGTCCCCTGGGCCTGGTTCCCACGCCAATGCCTCCCTGAAGGGGCCTTGGGAGGGGGACCAGAGAGCAGTGGCAGGGCCAGCCATTTCAGACCCAGGAGATGGCGTGGCCACAGTAGTTAGAAATACCTCACCCCTAGTGGCCACGCTGGACATCAGTGTCCACATCTGTCACCATTGTACGGATGCCTCTTAAGGGCTTCAGTGCCAAGGCAGCCAGCCAAGGGCTAGCCTGAGCTCTGCCCCCCAGAACCCCACTGAGCCTCCCCCGCCTGCCAGCAGCCCAGGGCAGGATGCCCTTCCATCATTTGGCACAGGTCAGCCAGAGCCAAGACTCCCTATGTTATATCTCACTCCCCAACGCCCCAACCACTTCAGGGTGACAGGGACTCCACGTGGTGCAGCGATCCAGCTCCGGCCCCTCTTGGCAACTCCGCAGGAGGCCAGGCAGGCGCCAAGTTGCTCAGCTCCCTGGGTGGCCCCTCTCCCCAAATCTGAGGGCTCTCATCAGGACCCTCAGTGCACCCCCTGCTGGTGTCAGTGGCCAGGAGGAGAAGAGGGTACACAGAAGCAAGGAGTCCCCCAAACTCAGAATCAGCCCTCTGTGGAGTGTTCCAGCCATGGCCTAGAGCAGTGGTTCTCAACCTCCCAACCCTGAGACCCTTTCATACAGTTCCTCATGTGGTGGTGGCCCCAAACCATAACATGATTTTTGTTGCCACTTCATCACTGTAACTTTGCTATTGTTATGAACTGGGCGACCCCTGGGAAAGGGTCGACCCCTGGGAAAGGGTCTTTCGACCCCCAAGGGGGTCGCGACCCACAGGTTGAGAACCGCTGCCTAAAGGGACTTGGCAGCTCAGGGCACTGAAGCACAGAAGGCTGGTGGACAGCTGGGGTTCCAGGCCACTCCCCCACCGAGGAGAGGGGTTGGGGACAGGGTAGGGCTGGCCCCTGTTCACCTTCCTGGCCCGGCCCCACAGCAGTGGACACACATGTGCACCGAATTGCCAACCGCCTCCGATGGACCAAGCGGCCAACCAAGGCTCCAGAGCAGACTCGAGCCGCCCTAGAGGACTGGCTGCCCAGGTGCGTCTGGTGGGGCTGTGCCTGTGGGCGGCACTGGAGCAGAGGGCGGGGCCTGCCCCCTGGTGCCTACCCCTAACTCTCACCCTGCAGGGAGCTATGGGGTGAGATCAACGCTCTGCTGGTGGGCTTTGGCCAGCAGACCTGCCTGCCCCTCCACCCACGCTGCCAGGCCTGCCTCAACCAGACACTGTGTCCCTCGGCCCAGGGCTTCTGAGGATGGCAGCTCCAGTCACATATGTGTCCGGTGCCTTTGCTGGTGACCAGCAGTTTGTTTATAATAAAGTTCTGGGGGTTTGCTGGGGCCTAGCTGGTTTCTACCCCTGTGGGGAGTACACATCTGTGTCTGCCTGACTCCAGGGGCACTTGTGTCTGTTGTTTGCCTCTGTGTATCTCCATCTGTGTGTATGTGTGGTGTGCATGTCTGCCTGTATTTGTAAGCATGTGAGCTTTATGTGTGAGCCATGCACAGGTGTGAGCTGTGTGCATGGATCTACCTCTGTGCATGTGGGAGCTGTGTACGTGTCTGCATATATCTGTGCACACGTGAGCTCTGTGTGTGTACATGTATCTGTACACCTGTGTGTGTCTGTCTATGTACACGTGTGAGCTACGAAAGCTGTCTGCATATATCTCTGTGTGCCCACGAGAGCTGCATGTGCCTGTGTGGCTCTGCGGATGTCCTTTCTATGTGTGTGAGCTGTGCGTGTCTACATCGATCTGCATCTCCCTGTGTCAGTGTACGTGAGGTGTGTACGTATCTGCATGTATCTGTGCATGTGAGCTGCATGTGCCTGTGTGACTGTGTACATCAGTGTGTGTATGCCCATGCACGGAGCTACATATACTTGTATGACTATGTTGTATCTTTGTGAGCTATGTCAGCATTTATCTGTGTGTGCGTGAGCCCTATGCTCCAGGTTGTGTACTCTGTGCTGTGGTCTGGAATGGGAGGCCAGGGTGGCACGTGACAACCCCGGCCAAGGACCCGGGGAACCAGGGAGGAAGTTGCGAAAGGCCGGAAGCTTTCCTGGAGCCTCCCAGGCTGGCTGAGACTCAGACCCGCCCCTCCTGAACTTGTGTACCCCAGCCTGCCCCTGTCAGAGCCCCGTCCCATATTTACACAGCCACCAGGCCTGCAGCACAGGGACACCAGCTGGTGCCATCGAGCCAGAGCTGCCCCAGGGGAGGTGCGGACACCAGAGGTGCCAGATGGAGCTGTGAGGTGCAAGGCCTAGGGGTGGCCACATTCCTTCCACACTGGGCTGCCCAGCAAATGGACACAGGCGAGGAGAGCCGCTTACCCTGACTGCAGCCCCCAACGAGGTCACAGAAAACAAGGGGGCAGGGTCAAACAAGGCCTGTTTATTCCCGAGGTGTGCACATTTGCTATGGCTTACAAGGCAGACAGCGAAGTCGGTCAAGGGCTGGTCACTGGGTCTGCGGGACAGGAGAAGGCAGAGGCACAGAGCGAGGGGCCTGTCCAGAGCCTGCCCATCAGAGGGCTCAGGGCCTCTATCCTCTGGCCCCTCGAAGGCCCCTGGTGCAAGAACAGGGCTGGGGGCCAGCTCCTCCAGCCCCAGCTGCCTCCCCAGAGCCCCACAGTCCGACGCCCATCACCCTCCACCCCCGGAAGTGCCTGCGCCTTTCCTGCAGCCTGGGGGCTGGTGAAATGGTTTGCAGAGAACTGCTTGTTTTATTGCAGTTATGGAGAGAGAGTCCCGGCGGGGCGGGGAGGGGGCTCTGCAGCTAAGTGGAAACACGTGCGAGCTGGAACACTTGGAGGAAAAGCAAAACTAAATTCCTTCTCATCAGCGCCTGCAGCCGGTGCCCACCAGCAAGACCCTGGCTACACAGCCCCAGGTCCCACCTGGCCTCTCCCTCTCTGTCTTTTCTCTCCCTCTCTGTCTTTTCTCTCTCCGTCTGTCTCTCTCTTCTCTGCCTTTCTCCCTCTCCCCATCCTGCTACAACATGGTTGGTCCCAGCACCCTTCAGGCCGGTGGGCGGGTGGGTGGCGGAGGAGGGGACTCGCTGGCTGGTTTTTTGGTGAAGGCAGCGCAGAGCGGCCATGGCTTCCGGGGTGAGGGTGCCCCCTCCAGTCCTCCAAGGCTCAGGGAGCACAGTGCAGGGCTGGGGGCTGCCTCCTGCCCTCCAGGTCCCTCACCCGGCCTGGCGGCGGTGGTGGCAGCAGCGGCGGCAACAGGATCAGAAGTTGCTGAAGATCTCCCGCTTGCGGCTCCAGTCCATGGGCGGGGCGCGCTTGTTCACCCGAGTGGCACGCGCCTTCTCCTTGGCCTCTGCCGCCGTGGGGCTCAGGTGCAGGCCACTCTCCTGGAAGGGGTCCCGCTTCCAGCCGCTGCCGTCCTGGGGCAAGGGAGGCCAGGTGAGCCCAGTGCTCAGAGCACTGCTGCCTCCTCTGATTCGCTCTCTGCCTGCTGGAGGCTTCCTGGAGGCCGTGCCCCCACCCCGGCCCAGACCCCTGTCCAAGGCATGAGGACCATAGTGGGGGCAGGACCACTCACCTCCACGTCCCTGCCTGCACCTGGCAGGTCGCTTCGAGAAGAGCATGCTGAGCTGCCGTTGAACTGGAAAAGCAGGAGCATGCGGTGGCCTCAGGGACCCGCTGGTGTACACACACACACACACACACACACACGCGCGCGCCACACTTGCCTCCCAGCCTAGCGGTTCTCCCTGGCTGCCGTCCTAACCACACAGACAGAGCTCAGGGAGTGGGGGAGGGCGGCTGCGATTGCACATTCCACATTTCTCTGGGCCCATCCCACCATGCCCTCCTCCCACAGGGTTCTCCTAGAGGCCCTGTAAGTGTGCAGACCCCAAAGGCGCCCTGGGAACTGCTGGGCTCATCTCTCACCTGGGCAGGGCTGGTCCCATTGGAGATAGGGGATGGCAGTGGACCTGCAGGACAGAATGTCAGTGCCCTTCTCCGAGGTCTCCCTACCACGCTCTGGCCTCCCACTCCAGCCCCACACCCCCATGGCACCCCAGCTCCTGCCCCCCAGCCCAGGCCTGCCCAACCCACGCTCTCCCTCCGCACCCAGTCTCCTCTAGCCCCGCCTCTGCCCTCAGGCCCCGCCTCCGGGTCTACCTTGCACGTGCTCCTCAGTGGGCGTGACCCGCAGCCGCTTGAAGTGCTCATCGGTTTCGGGGTCCACAACCAGCAGCCGGGCCTCATCCTCGCGGGCCTTGATGGTAGCCACGACCTCAGCATGACGCAGCCCCTCCACGTTCTGCCCGTTCACCTGTCACCAGCCCAGCATCAGCTCTACCCAGAGCGGCCCGACCAGCTGGTCACCAACACAGCTTCTGGCTGACTCCAGCCTCCTTCCCTGGGGTCCCTCCCCCTAACCCAACGTGGGGGTTAAACTGGGGGGGGGGGGGCGGACTCAAGACTTACAACAGAGGAAAGCTTGACACCACGGGGACGTGGGGAACTTGACACGGATACTTACGGAGGTGGGAGGACTGGATACTGACACCCACTTACACAGGGGACCTTGACATTGACATAAGGTGGGCCTTGAGACCACCAACACCTGGGTGGGGAACCTGGACACTGATAGATGGGGGGTGGGGCCTCGTGATAACTACACACTGGGTGGGGGGGCTTGGCACCAACAACACACACGGACACCCCTGGGCACATGCAGGTAGCGACGTAAGTGGAGTAGACACTCAGCACCACAGTCCCTGAGTCCGAGAACCCTGGAGTACCTCAATAAGCCGGTCCTGGGCTTGAAGGCCGGAGTGGGCGGCGGGCGAGCCTGGGTCCACAGAGCGGATGTACTGGCCTGGCCGGGACTTGTCACTGTGCAGGTTGAACCCATAGCCCTGGGGGCCCTTCCGCAGGTGGCAGAGCCGGGGACGAAGCTCTCTCGGGGGCCCATTCATGTCCTGTGGGGCACCATGGGCCCAGGGTCACCACCAAGCCGCCGTTGCCCGAAGCCAAACCGGGACCCAGTTCTCAGTGCCAGGATGCCACCTTGCTAGGACCCACCAGGCTGCAGGCCTTGAGGGCAACCTCAGCCCCCAAATCCAGGAAGAGCCCACAGCAGAGCCGCCCCCCTCACAGGCACACAAGGACAGGGCTGAGGCCAGTGTGGTGTCCCCGGGTGCCCCCCAGCCAGCCGCATGCTGCTTCCTGGGCCCTTGTTTTGTTGTCTCTCCCCAGGGCCTCCCTCCACAGGGCTGACTGTATTTGCTTGCACATTCCAGGGCAATTGGAGCCGCCCCCACCCCGCCCCCACCTAGGCCAGGGACTAAGGGAGGATAAGAGGGTAAGAACCGGAGCAGCAAGAGGGCTCAGGACCTCAGAGGACACCCCTCTCCCCCCAGGCCTGCCTCCATTTACCTCCGACATCCTGCAGGAGAACTCGGCCCAGGGGGCTGTAGACCGGGACAGACCCCAGTCACCAGGCCCTCAGTGGCCGCTGTGCTCAATTAAACATGGCTGGCAGCCCGGCTGGCGGGAGGCAAGCAGCTCAGGTTTCCTGGGAGCACCCGGGGCCTCGAGGTATGGGGAGGTGACAGCGTGCGGCCAGGGCGTGTTCTCTGAGACCCACCTCCCCTCCACTATCAGACAAAGGAACTGCTTGTATGATGTTGGGGAGGATGCAGGGCACCCCCATCTGCTCACCTTCCAAACCCCATGACTGCCAAGACTCCCCACCAAGCCTCCCACCAGGGATGGCACCTCACCTACCAAACCTGCAGATATAAGTCCATGCCACCCCACAGCCACCCCGCAGCAGGACAGCGGGAAACTGTCCCAGAGGGTGCTGAGGCTGCCCAAGGCCTTTCTCCCACAGAGCAGCTGCCCGGTGGAGTCACAAGAGGTTGGGATTGGTTCCGTGGGTTTGAGTTTTATTGGGTTTCTGAAGCCAACTCATCTTTTTGCCTCCGAGTGGCTAATAGGTTCGAACCAAGGACCACTCAGTTCACAGCCAAGCGCTGAACTGGGTCATACGCCTGCCTTCCTCTGAAGCTGAACCCTCTGTGACTCAGCTGGGACTCACGGTGACCCTCGAGGACAGAGCGGTACCCGCCCCCAGGCTCTCCCAGACAGATAGCCATGCCTGTACCCCGAAGAGCAGCTGGTGGGTTCAAACGGCCCACCCCTTGGGGTAGCAGCCAAGCGCTTGAACCACTGCGCCCCAGGATCCTCATTTCCTCCCCTCAACACACCCCCTTTGTCCCTTCCCCACAGTTGCTCTGGGGTGGCCTTTGTGCCTGGGTTAACTTCCTGCCTCCTTCTCCCTGTGGAGCCCCTTTGTTTTGAGGGGACTGCAGTGTGACTTAGGAGCCCTGGGGGCAAAGTGTTGTGCGTTGGGCTGCTACCCTCAGGCCAGCAGTTCAAACCCACCACCCGATCTTTGGGGGAAGACACGCCTTTTCAGTCCTGTATAGAGTGACAGTGTCCGAAACCCACAGGGCGATTCTACCCGGTCCTATGGGGCCGCTGTGAGTCAGCACCCGCTCGAGGGCCGTGAGTCTGAGTTCAGGCAGTGTGCCTTTGGTACTTCCTTGGTTCCTGGCCCCCTGCTGTGACCACAGGCCCTCCAGGACTCTCCCCTCCCTCCTCCTCTCTGTCACCCAAACCCAAAGCCAAACTCGCCACCGACCCTTCAATTAGCAGCTGAGCGCTTAACCGCTGTGTCACAAGGATACCTCGGAAGCAAAGCCCACTGAGGTTGATTGAGGCGATTCCAACTGAGGGTCCAGCGACCCTTTAGGGCAGGACAGGGTGGGCTGGAAACTTCCCAGACTGCCAGTCATCTCTGTGGGACTGGCTGCCCCTTCGTCCTCTCGCAGAGCAACCAGTGGCTTCCCAAAGCCCACCTTTTGGTCCGCAGCCCAGTGCTTAACCACTGGGACACCAGGGCTACTGGGTGATTCCCCGTGCAGGACAGAGGCTCCAACTTCCTTCCTAGCCATCTGAAAAGTGTGTTCCCTGCCCGACCTGGGACCCACCTGCAGGACCCCTGCCTGGACCCCCAAGCCTAGTGCAAGTTTCCTATAAATCCTGTGCTCCTCACAGAGCCCCCACACAAACCCCAAACCCATAAAGTCAGTGCCGACTCACAGTGGCCCTGTAGGACCAGGTAGACCTGCCCCTGTGAGTTTCTGACACTAACTCTTTACGAGTGTGGAAACCTTGTCTTTGTCCACAGAGCAGCTGGTAGTTTCGAACTGCTGACCTTGCGGTTGGCACCCCAATGCATAACCCATTATGCCACCATGGCTCCTCACTTCAGGATACTGAAATCCAGGGGGCAGAGGCTGGCTGGGACACATGGGCTATTTGAAGGGCTGCAAAACCCCAAGGTGTCCGGCCCCGGAGACACTGGGGCAGGTGCTCTGCCAAGAACACCCTGAGGTGTGCAGAGATGGGACACAACGGTGGCTGGGGAGGGAGGAAGGACAGAGGGCAGAAGGAAGGGGCTGGGAAGCATGGTGGGGCAATGCCTGACACGTGGACACAGGAGCCCATCACACAACCACATGACATGGATGTCAGGAGAGCATGTCACACGTGTGCCCCCCCCCCCCACCAACCTTTTCCCATGACCTCGACCCTGGCTTCTGGGGCTTGGGTCCCCCAACAAGAAACGGGATTTGGGTGGGCACCCAGGTGACCTGCCTGTTAGCAAGTGCCCAATGGAATCCAGAGTCTCCTGGTCCGACTGGGCTTTCATCCTGGCCATCCCCCTGCCTCTGGGCCCAACAGGTGCCTCTCCCCCACAGAAGCCAGGCAGTTCTTGCTAAATCCTGCCTAATGTCCTCCATCCTGGAGAAGGAGTCCAGGGGCAGCGTACTTGGTCCTGGATCCTCAAGTGGAGGGCTGCAGTGGGTAGGGCATGCCCGGCCAGTTTTGGACGCTGGACGGAGGGACAGGAGGGGCCGCAGGGCGGCGGGAGCCCTGCACTGGCAACATTCTTTCCTTTCTGGCTCAGCTCACTTCCTGCCGCTCCCAGCCAGCCTTTAGGCTCCCACGGCAGCCATCAGCCTCAGAGCAGGGCCAGCCCGGCCCCTCAGCCAGGCCTGTGACCGGACAAAGAGGCTAGCATGGGGGTGCCCAGTTGCCACCCCCCCCAGCACCACCACTACCACCCCCACCAGGCTGACGCACCAGCCTGACTGAGAAAGGCCCCTTTGTTACTGAGTCCAGCCGACTTGCACCAGGGTCCCCAGGAACCTCCCTCCCTCCCTCCCTCCCCAGCCCACCTGCCCTCTCTGACCTGAATGAGTCCCTGGGGTAGGCTCCCAGGAGGGGCTCCTGGAGCTGGGGCTGGCAGTGTGGCAGCCCCAGAGCGGGCCATGGCAGACCGGAGTGGCAGCGGACTGCTGCCTGGGATAGTCAGCGCACTCTGGCCAACCGAGGGGGCCACCCTCCTTTATCTACCCCTCACTATGTCTAGGGTCCCTGGGGATGGGTGGGGGCCTGGGGGCTGAGTCACCTTGGGGAGCAGGGTGATGACAGAGCTCCAGCTTGGCGCTCCCACCCAGTGGGGTTTCCGTCCCAGGAAAGGAAGGAAGGAAGCAGCTAGAAGCCCAGCCTGCCTGACTCCCAGGACCCGGGGCTGGGGACAGGGAGACAGCAGGACAGAGAGGCCAAGACACAGGCTGGGGACCCCATCTGGGCAGTAGACAACACACTGTGGAAGCCCAGGCCACCTGCTCCCAGGACCCAGGGCTGGGGACAAGGGGACAGAAGACAGAGGGGACAGCAGGGCAGGGGGACAAGGAGGGGACCCCAGCTGGCCAGGAGCCGGTCCACTGTGAAAGCCCAGCCTACCTGCTCCCAGAACCCAGGACCCAGGACTGGGGGACAGTGAGACGAGGAGTCTGGAAAGGGGACCCTGTCTGGAGGGGAGACTGTCCTCTGTGGTCCCTCAGAAGTCCCACATCCTGCACTCATTGGCCCCGGACTGTGTAGGCCAGGTGGGAGTGGTGAGGGAGGGTTCAGTCACCAGCCAGCTCTGCCAGGCTCAAGGGCAGGGAGAGGGAGCCCCAGGGACTGTCCCACTCTGTTTGGGGGCTGGCCCTTGACCTCACTGTCAGCATCTGCTGCAATGCAGCTGCAGCCACCCCAGGCCCGGCTGAGTCACCATTGATGAGGCCCTCCCAGGCCCCACCTCCCTACCTCCCCCAGCCCGGCCTGCTGGGGACAGGGGGGACACAGGCTCAGAGGCTCCGCTGGCTGAAGGCCCCTCCTTCAGGTCCCCTGATGGTGCCCCATGGACACCTTGCCAATGAGGGATGCACAAGCCTTGGAGGGTGAGGGGCACACAGGTGGGTGGGACTGCAGCAGTGAGCAGAGACCTGGGACGCCCCACTCTTGAGCTCTGCATCGCATCGAGGCCAGAAGGCGAAGCCCTGTCCCCTGGGTACCCCTGCGGCAGGAGGGAGGGGTCCCCTCCACCTGCTAGAGGCCTCCCTTTGTTCTTAAAATACACCCACAGGAAGCCCCTCCTGTGCTTCCTGCAGCCCCCAGAGCCTGAAACGGTGAGGCCTCACCCTCACAAGGCGAGGGTCAGAGTTACTCCACCCTGCAGATAAGGCCTGGGGCGGATTTTTCCACAGGAAGGTGAATCCGGCCATTTGTCTAAATCAAGGGGACAAACGTCTTGGGGGTGGGGTTTCTTCCTGGCCAGGGGGTGGGGTGGGGGGGGAGGTTCCAACCCTCATCTAGGAGAAGGGTGCACCCCAGGGACTCGAGTGCTCCTCCTGATCCCA